GGCAGCGTTAGCACGCGCAGGAGACACTCTTGCACTTTCGGGGGGATTTTAACATCCCCCCCAATTTTTTTTTAACTTTTTTTATTTTTGTGCACACGTGGGGACTGGCCCACGTGTGCACAAACCTTCCCCGGCCCCCCAGCTGCCCCCTCCGTGCTGATTTAAGTATCCGCACGGAGGGGGCAACTTGGCTATTAGTATAAGGATCATAGAATCACAGCATTGGAAGTGGCCATACAGGCCATCTAGTTCAACCCCTTGCTCAATATAGGATCAGCCTAGAACATTCCTGACAAGTGTTTGTCCAGCTGCTGCTTAAAGACTGCCAGTGAGGGGGAGCTCATCACCTCGCTAGGCAGCTGATTCCACTGTTGCACAACTCTTACTGTAAAAAGGTTTTTCGTAATATCCAGCAGGTACCTTCCCGCCCTTAATTTAAGCCCATTATTTACCTGGAATTTCCAAAGGCTCTACAGGGACGCATGGGAACTGTATACTCTGAATCAATTGAAATGTAATCAATTGAAATATGAGTCCGACAGAATCAACTGAAATGTAAGCTTGTCTGCTAGGCTGTGTTAGGATTTCATTTACTTCCTCATTCAGATCTCCCATGCATGTCACCCCTCAGTCACCCCCATCTTTTCTCCCTTCGGCCTCACTGTAATGTGTATGGAAATATGCCAAGGAAGAATATTTTTCCCGTAAGCCCTTACTAGCCTTTAACACCCTCCATTATTTTTAATGAAGTTTATTACCTTGACTCTGCTGACTCTGAGCTAAAACCAGCTATGCCTTTATGCACCTTGCATTACTAAGGGAGAGGAGGGGCTGCTCCAGAGCTCCTTTGTTGAATATTAACCTTATACATGTTGGAGTGGTGGCACTGAAACTACCCAGGTTTTTTTTAGCCAGTTATGGTTAAACAGAAACAGAGAGGGAGGCCAGCTGAGGGATAAGGAGAGCATTGTCCTGTTTGCCTTTGGAAGAGTTCCCTCTCCCTTACGGTCACTGGGTTGAACGTCTGTGGGCACAGCACAGGGGTGGCTCATCGATATCATGTTCCTCTCCACCCAGCCTTTCTTTCTAGCCCTTTCTTTCCAAGTTTGTTCTTGGCACCACGGGATATACATAAACAATGCAACTATGCACATGAACAATGCAGGTTGGAGGCTGCACTGTGGAGGGGAAAGGGTATTTTTGTTTGTACTGGTGCTATCTGGTGGATAGAAAGATCAAAGTACAATTTTGTTACTCAATTTCTTTGCAGGTCTCTGAGCAACAGGCTTGTTTTCAAAAGTACAAAATCACCAGGAGCCCCTGTTGGCAGGCAACAACAGTGGACATTGCCTATGCGTTTTCATTTCTTACTTTGCTTTCTAGGTACTCATTTGTTTCTGTTCCCTCCACCACCACCACCATCAGGCAGAGTTCTAGCAATGATCACTTTTCAGTCTTTGCTACCTCAGTCTTTTTTTGTTCTCATGATGATCCTAAAGAGCTCTGCTTTGGACAAATACGTTGCAGCAGTCTATGAGCATTCAGTCATATTGCCAGAGACTACCCAAAAGCCTGTTTCTTCTGAAGACGCCTTAAAATTGATGAACAAAAACATGGATATTTTGGAAGAAGTCATCAAAAGGGCAGCAGCTCAGGTAATGATGATTATTTTATGGTTTTGAATGTTTTTTATTATGTGGCAGGAAGAGTTTTAATGCTTCTTTTCTTCATAGGGTGCACACATCATTGTGACTCCTGAAGATGGCATCTATGGCTTTTTTTTTACCCGAGAAACTCTTTATCCTTATCTTGAAGATATCCCAGATCCACAAGAAGTTAATTGGATTCCATGTAATGACTCACAAAGGTATATAATTTTATGTGGGATTGTTAAACAACAGAACAAAGAACTATGAAGGGCTCTGGTTTCATACATTCCTGTGGTTCAGTACTAAATTTTGGAACTTGCAGTATATAAAGTGTCTTAGAGCTGGTACTTTTCAGTTAGAAGCTCTGGGTTGGATCCAGGCTAAGGGTGATTTCCCACAAGCGCTGCTCCATGCTCACTCTTCTCTTTGGCCCGATGGTACATGTCAATTTCACACAAGCTGCTGCGCGACCGCATTTTGCCCCGCAGCTTCGTGCAATTTCGCCCGCATCTACTCAATCCTGTTTTTTGAGGATTTTGAGGAGCTGTGGTGGCTCAAGTGGTTAAGACGCTGAACTGCAGGCTGTGGAAGGTCAGTAGTTCAGCAGTTCAAGAACCGAGTTGCCGCATGATGGAGTGAGCTCCCTTCTCTAGTTCCAGCTCCTGCCAACCTAGCAGTTCGAAAGCAAGAAATTGCAAGTAGATAAATAGGTACCACTTTGGTGGGAAGGTAACAGTGTTCCATGCACCTTGGTGTTTAGTCATGCCGGCCGCATGACCACGGAAACGTCTTCGGACAGCGCTGGCTCTTTGGCTTTGAAACGGAGATGAGCACCGCAACCCTAGAGTCGGACTCGACTGGCTTTCGAGCAAGGGAACCTTTACCTTTACCTATCGGGGCAAAAGGGAGGAGTGAGCGCGGAGCAGCGCTTGTGGGAAATCACCCTAAATGTCCTCAGTGGGATAAAATTTTCCAGCCTTCCCCTTCCCCACTGCAGTTCACAGATCTCCCTGAAATGCTGCTCCCGGGGAACAGGGGACTCAAGAACAGCATGAGGGGCAAATTGAGGTCTGCAGCGGGAGGAAATAATTAGCAGGAAATGCCCCCCCTTCCTACAACTGAAAAATTTACTTGGGATCAAATGAAGGGAAGGCAGCTTTGCAGACCACACAAGCTGCATGGGTTAGCCACAGAGACGGCCAAGGACCAGCATATGGCTGAAAGTGCCCACATGTCCAACTTATTGCAGTCAGGAGCATTAAAATGATGGGTTGCAGTATATTATTGTGGACTACAGCTGCTAACAGTCCTCCCTCTCCATTCTTTTTGATTCTATAAATTAGATTCGGACCTGCCCCAGTGCAAGAAAGGCTCAGCTGTCTGGCAAGGGAGAATGCTATCTATGTGGTTGCTAATATTGGGGATAAGAAGCCATGTAATCCGACCGACCCCAAATGTCCTAATGATGGCCACTATCAATACAACACAAATGTTGTCTTTGATTCAGATGGGAAACTGGTTGCACGCTACCACAAGGTAAAAATAAACTGTGGGTTGGATCCAAAGTTGCTGGTCCACCAAGATGAAGGAAGGTGCAGTCCTTCAGCTATGAGGGCCCCAGGTCATGAAAGGCCTTAAAGCTGAGCACCAGCACCTTGAATTAGACTCCAAAAATGAATTGGCAGCCAGCAAAGGGAATGGGAGTACTGTTGTCCTGTTGGTTAACCCCAGATAACTTTCACCAAAAGTATCACACCACTGATGGTAGGAAGAGCAATCCTATCTAAAGCAGTGGCCCTTCCAGCCAGTACCAGCTCCATCTTATCTGGATCTGGCTTCAGTCTTTTTTCTCTTTCAGCCCCCTGATCACCATATTCATTGGCTAGAGCTCATTTCACCAGATCATAAAGTGTTTTCCAGGGATGGTGGGTACATAGTTATTTTTATACTATAAAAATAGGTACGGATGGGGGGAAAGGTGTAGAGAGGGTCCAAATGGTAAAGAAAATGCAGTATATGTGTCATGACATACACCGTCCGCAGGGCTCTTTTTGTAGCAGGTACTCATTTGCATATTAAGCGACACACCCCTAATGTAGCCAATCCTCCAAGAGCTTACAGTAGCTCCTGTAAGAAGAGCTCTGTAAGCTCTTGGAGGATTGGCTACATTAGGAGGGTGTGGCCTAATATGCAAAGGACTTCCTGCTACAAAAAGAGCCCTGCGATATATGTAATCCTTATCAGAGTAGGTGAGACCCATAAATGCACATACCCAGTAAGATAGTAGAAATACTTACCAGGGGACAATTTAAAACTGTGTATACATTTAACATGCTAGCTTTTCATTTGCATAAACATCAAATAACTTATAGAAATCTTTGCTGTGCACCTTTAAGGCTATAAAATAGTTGTTATAAAATAGTTCTGTGTTTTCACTGAAATCCCTTCATGTTTCCTACATCTGTTTTCTTTCAACAGTTCAATCTCTTTATGTCAGAAGCCCAGTTTGATTTTCCTAAAGAGCCTGAAGTTGTGACCTTCAACACTTCCTTTGGGAAGTTTGGTGTGTTCACATGCTTTGACATACTGTTCCACGACCCTGCTGTGACCTTGGTGAGCGAGCTCAAGGTGGACACCATCCTCTTCCCTACTGCTTGGATGAATGTTCTTCCACATTTAACTGCTATTGAATTCCATTCCGCATGGGCTATGGGAATGCAGGTCAATTTGCTGTCATCCAACACTCATAAAACTGGAATGAATATGACAGGTAATAGATGGTTATTTATGACTAATTCCATCCACCAGTCAAACTGAAACCAGTTGTAGGCTACCTGTTAACATTCTTAGTGGTTTTTTAAAAATCATGTGTTCAAGCCAGAGTTGGTGTGTGTGTGTTCTCTGGGCTTAAACAGAAGTGATAGCATAGGATTGCACTGTCAGAATCCTGCTGGTGTGCCCTCCTCATAACCACCACAGAAATCCACTAACAGGCACCAAAACCTGGCTTGGCTTCTTTTTAATACTCAACAAGACATTCTTCCTTTTGATTGCCACAAGTAGGCATAGAGAACTCTGGCTGCTGGCAGTGCCATTTGCAACCTCTGCTTGGCATCCCCAACAAATTTGATCAAGGAGAAGTGCACAGCTGGATCCTAGGTCTGGTAGCCAATCAGAGGCATGTTGCTATTGCTTCTAATGTGCCAAGTCTGGACCAAGGAAATGATCGCTCCTCAGATCTAAGAATTCAGAATCTTATCATCATGACGCTGCCCAGCAAATAGAAGGAGAAGGAAAAACAGTGTTATGTTCCCATATTCATTCATGTGTTAACCTGCTTTTGTGCTTGCATATATATAGAAACATAGAGCTGGAAGGGACCTCTATGTCCCTTCCTGTGCACAACACAGGAAATTCACAACCACCTTCCAGTCCAGTGACCCCTACTCTATATCCAGAGAAAGGGGGGAAAAAACAGGATCCCTGACCAATCTCACCTGGAGGGAAATTCCTTCCAGACCCCAAGGTGGCAATCAGGATTACTGATCATACGTGTGTTTGTTTTTCTGCGTATGTGATTTGATGTAGTGGGGAAGATGCTTGCAAATCCCTTCAAAGGAAGAGAAAACTGTGAAATAACGGTTATTGATATAAAACAGTTTAAAAAGGACAACATTGGGGACATAGTTTTGGTAACTGCTTTCCACTAACATCTCTTGTATTGATTGGCTGATCCTTGCTAATAATCTAATGACACGTGCCTAAAATAATCATAGGACACCACACAGGTCAAATAAAATGGCTGCTTGTCTTTCTGTTGTCTTTATCCTTTAGGAAGTGGTATCTATGCCCCAGATGGATCACAGGCATATCATTATGATGCAGAATCTGAGAATGGCCAGCTTCTGGTTGCAGAACTCCATTCCCACCCTTCTATTTCTCCTACTTACCTTCATTCAGTTAACTGGAGCTTGTACGCCACAGCTATCAAACCATTCCCCGAGAACAATAATTTCAAAGGAATCATTTTCTTTGATGAATTCACTTTCTCCAAGCTGAACAGTCAAGCTGGCAATCTTACAGTGTGCCAGAAGGATCTCTGCTGCCACTTGAGCTACAGGATGACGGAGCAGCAAGAAGATGAAGTTTATGCGTTGGGTGCATTCGATGGCCTTCATGTGGTTGAAGGAGAATATTATTTACAGGTCTCATTTTCTCAGGGGGAGGTTTTGCTCATTATGATATGGTATTGAGGAGACAAGTGTGGATATCATGCCCTACTTATTTATTTATTTATTTAAAGTTAAGCCCTTTCATTCCACTAGTTTCAATTGGAAAGTTAAACTCACTATCGTTTATATTACTGAGAATTACAATTGTGGGTTCTCTGACCTGGATGGCCCAGGCTAGCCAGATCTCATCAGATATCAGAAGCAGGGTCGGCCCTGGATAGTACTTGGCTGGGAGGCCACCAAGGAAGTCCAGGGTTGCTATGCAGAGGCAGGCAATGGCAAACTACCTCTCAGTGGTCCTTTCCACACTTGGATCTCATCCCTGGTTTTATCAGAGTTCAACTTGCAACACAATACCTTGCATTTATCCCTGGTTATAACAGTATCTGTTTATCCTGGGACAAGTGTGGGGCGAAACTGGGGTGACCTCAATGTAATGTGGAAACAAAAAACACCCCGAAATAATTACAGGGGTGAACTCGAGTGTAGTGTAGAATATAAGTTCAAGGACAGGGTTGAACCAGGATTTATTTATTTATTTAATTCAATTTGTACCCTGCCCTTTCCGCCAAAGCAGGCTCAGGGCGGCTTACATTAAAAGTTAAAATACAATAAAACACAAATTCAGTGCATACAAAACACATTATAAAATTCATATACATTGCAAGTAACAAATCACAAATAAATACAGTTAAAGTGCTAGTGGCGGTAACTATGGGCCATGATGTAACAGATCTAACAGGATGTATGGCCAGAAGATGTTACTGTTGATATCGCAGGCAGTTACTGTTGTCATAAAAGGCCTTATCCCAGTTCATTGTTGTTGGTAGCGGCTCCTAATCGAAGGCCTGCTGGTAGAGCTCTGTTTTGCAGGCCCTGCGGAACTGTAAAAGGTCCCACAGGGCCCTGATGTCTTCTGAGAGCTCATTCCACAAGTATGGAGCTGCTACTGAAAAGGCCCTGGCTCTAGTACTGGCATCTTTCAGTCCAGGGAGGGTCAAGCGATTTTGAGACCCCAATCTCAGTGCTCTCTGGGGAACATGCAGGGAAAGGAGGTCCCTCAAGTAGACAGGCCCCAAACCATATAGGGCTTTAAAGGTCAAAACCAGCACCTTGAAGCGAATTCGGTATACTATTGGCAGCCAGTGCAGTGCCTTCAGCACAGGCTGGATGTGCTCCTGCACAGGGAGACCCATCAGCAGCCTGGCTGCTGCATTTTGCACCAGCTGCAGCTTCCAGATTTGCGACAAGGGCAGCCCCATGTAGAGAGCATTACAGTAGTCCAGTCTCGGGGTGACCACTGTGTGGATCACTGTTGCCAGATCATTGTGTTCGAGGAAGGGAACCAGCTGCCTGATCAGCCGAAGATGGTAGAAGGCTGTCTTGACAGTGGCTGCTACCTGGGCCTCCATTGTTAAGGAGGCATTCAAGAGCACTCCCAGACTCCTGACCTTCGGAGCTGGCACCAACGGTGCCCCATCGAAGGCTGGTAGAGGGATCCTTCGGAACAGCTGATCCCCAAGAGCCACCCTTTGTCCCTGACCTCAGAGAAAGGAGATGAGCCATTGCAGGGCAAGCCCCTGAATCCCCATGTCAGCAAAGCGGTGGATCAGTAGCTGATGGTCAACCGTGTCGAACGCCACTGACAGGGCTAAGAACAACAGGACTGCCGCCCTGCCCCAAGCCAGATGCCTCTGGAGGTCATCTGTGAGGGCGACCAGTGCTGTCCCTGTCCCATGTCTTGGGCGAAAGCCAGACTGGAAGGGATCTAACATGGAAGTGTAATCCATAAAGCCCTGCAACTGCATCGCTACTGCCCTCTGGATTAATTTGCCCAAATAGGGCAAATTGGAAACCGGCCAATAGTTAGCCAATTCAGCCGGATCCAAGGAAGGGTTTTTTAAAGAGAGAGTAAACCATTGCTTCCTTGAGTGCCCCTGGGAACAGTCCCTCAGAGAGGGACTTGTTGATAATTTCCCTAAGGGCACCTCTAAACCCTTCCTGACCAGCTTTAATTAGCCATGAAGGGCACGGATCAAGGCTGCATGTGGTTGGGCATACTCAATGCCCGTGAGCTTCAGTGGTGGGAGCACCCTGAAGGAGTAAGCCTCCCAAATGAATAGAGCCACTCCCCCCCACCCCTTAGTCTGTGATTGGTGAAGGACCAAGAACCTGGGCAGAGCCAGCTGGGAGAGAGCTACTGTCTCTCTGTCTCACACCTAAATCTCGGTCATGCACGCCAGGTCTGCACCCTGCCCTAGGAAGAAATCATATGGAAGTGTAATCCATAAAGCCCTGCAACTGCATCGCTACTGCCCTCTGGATTAATTTGCCCAAATAGGGCAAATTGGAAACCGGCCAATAGTTAGCCAATTCAGCCGGATCCAAGGAAGGGTTTTTTAAGAGAGGGTGGACCATCGCTTCCTTGAGTGCCCCTGGGAACAGTCCCTCAGAGAGGGACTTGTTGATTATTTCCCTAAGGGCACTTCTAAACCCTTCATGACCAGCTTTAATTAGCCATGAAGGGCACGGATCAAGGCTGCATGTGGTTGGGCATACTCAATGCCCGTGAGCTTCAGTGGTGGGAGCACCCTGAAGGAGTAAGCCTCCCAAATGAATAGAGCCACTCCCCCCCACCCCTTAGTCTGTGATTGGTGAAGGACCAAGAACCTGGGCAGAACCAGCTGGGAGAGAGCTACTGTCTCTCTGTCTCACACCTAAATCTCGGTCATGCACGCCAGGTCTGCACCCTGCCCTAGGAAGAAATCATGAAGGATTGAGGTCTTATTGTTTATGGACCTGGTGTTACACAACACCAATGTCAGAGGGGGGTCATTAGTCCTAGCCCCTCTACCTGCTACTCTCGGGATGGGACACGGGCTGGAAGGTCTAGTGCAGAATCACCCAGAGTCTTTTGCCTTTAAAACTCTACAGGGCTGTCATACATCAGCTGTGACTTGATGGCACTTTCCACCACCACATGTGTGAGCACCTTCAGTTGAATCAAAGTAAATTGAGCTCTGTATCAAGAAGGAGAAACCCACTCTCTGATTCTAATAGTAGGGTCTTGTGAATGTTTACTTAGAAATAATTCTACTGATGGCAACAGGGGTTATTCCCAAATAAATCTACATAGGATTACAGTCTTAAACATGACTTCCCAACCACCATGAAAACTATCATTGATTGCAATAAGGTTGACAGAACAATTCTAATCCAAGGAATTCAATGGATTTAGAAAAGTATAACTCTGTTTAAGGAGCTGCGGTGGCTCAAGTGGTTAAGACGCTGAACTGCAGGCTGTGGAAGGTCAGTAGTTCAGCAGTTCGAGACCTGAGTTGCCGTATGACGGAGTGAGCTCCTGTCTCTAGTTCCAGCTCCTGTCAACCTAGCAGTTCGAAAGCAAGAAATTGCAAGTAGATAAATAGGTACCACTTCGGTGGGAAGGTAACAGCGTTCCGTGCACCTTGGTGTTTAGTCATGCCGGCCACATGACCACGGAATCGTCTTCGGACAGCGCTGGCTCTTCGGCTTTGAAACGGAGATGAGCACCGCAACCCTAGAGTCAGATTCGACTGGCTTTCGAGCAAGGGAACCTTTACCTTTACCTTTTAAACTCTGTTTAGGACTACACTGTAGAATTGCTCTTTTGTTTGTTATTTTATTTGTCTCTTGATTAATGTGACATGGGTCTAGATAATACATTTCGCAATTATTATGCAACCATCCATGGAAACGTGTGGATTCATGATTTGGGTGGGAACCACAGTGAGATGCTGATAGTATAAACCAGCTGTTGAAGGGGAGAGCGATATGTGATGATATTCACTGTATGTACAATCATGGCTGGTCTTTTATTGGCGTCTCTTATGTTCTTAAATAGCAAAGACGAGTAAATAGCATGAACCAGGCTGTGATTTTTTTTTAAATGATCTCCTACCCTAGAAGCAATATTTTAGCTGCTGGGCTGATAATAGTACTGGCTCCCACATCATAATGTGAAGAGCAATAGCCTAACCAACCACACCTCCTTGGCTGTGAACTGTTGTTTGTGGAAATGAATTACTTGGCTCCAAAGGTTCCGTTCTGTTAATGGAACCTTCTTCTAGTGCGAGCAGTCTTTCATGATAGTGGAACATGCCTCCTTAGCTTAGCTGGATCAAGACTTTTTGAATCAAAGGAAAACTCTGCAAATAATAGAACTGAACCGTTGGATCCAACCCACTGAGAATATGGAAGCTAATTTTTTGACCTTGTTAAAAATCTACTTGTTTTATTGTGAGTATTCTCCCAACAGATTGTTTCTTTTTTCTTTAGATATGCACATTGCTGAAATGCAGAACTACTGACTTGCAAACGTGTGGTGAGCCAGTGACTATAGCTCACACCCGTTTTGGATACTTTTCTCTCAGTGGCACATTTAGCACTAACTACGTCTTTCCAGAAGTTCTGCTTAGTGGAGTTCACCTGGCACCTGGAGAGTTTCAGGTAGGGTAATATTTCAGACCAAAATTTGTCAGTGTTAACTAGAGTGTCTGGTGGATTCTAAGGAAAATTGCCCAGTTTGTACTGTGCCTTGGATTACCTGGGCTGACCTGTGTATTTGCATGGAGGTCACTCATTGGCTTCAAAGTCCTGCTCCAGAGCAAGTATGCTACTACAAGGCCTCAAGATTGTCTCTCGGGGGGGGGGGAATCTGATTTTAAAATATTATGTATGCACTATTAAATTAAATTAAATTAAAGGTATC